GTTTTCTTTTTTCTTTTGTTGTGCACTTTTTATTTAATTTTTTCCCCTTCCTAGCCACCCCAAAGAAGGCTACAATTAAGTACAGACCTATATTACACACATACATGCACACACACACACACGTGTATATACACACACCCACATAGATATCCACAAAATACACATATATACTCAGATACACATGCAGAAGACCGTATTGTGCTTATTTACACTTGTCACCTATTTCTCTGTAGGTGAACAGTGTCTTCCTGCATAAGTCCAAGTCTTTCCCTATTTTTCTAAATCCACCAGCTCATCGTTTCCTACACCACAACAATATTCTGACCCAGTCACATTCTATCTGGGAGATTGTCTATGAGAGTTTCCCCACAATTTTCTGTATTCCCTCTGTTCTTGGCTATATAGGTTTTATTTATACAGGAGAATTTTAACTTAAAATAATTAAAATTATCCATTTTATATATCAACACTGCTCTTATTTTATAATATGGTTTAAGGTCTAACACTACTGACTCTAGTTCCTTTACATCTTTCCCCCTGGTTTCCTTGAAGTTCCTGACCTTCTGCTCTTCCAAATGAACACTATTATTATTTTTTCTTAGTAAGATAATTTTTTAGTAATTTAATTGGGATGGCATTACATAAATAGATTAGTTAGGTAAAATTGTCATTTTTAAAATATTAGCTTTGTCTAACTCTGTACGGCAAATATTACTTCAATTACTTAAATCTAGCTGTATAAAAGGTGTTTTGTGTTTATATTTGTATAGTTTCTGTGTCTGCTTTGGAGGTATACTCTCACTTTTTCCTACTGTCTAGTTATTTTATATGGTCTAAAACTATTGATTAATATGACTGACATATAGTATAATTTCTCTCTTTTCCCCTTTTGATTAAATCTGATTTTAGCTTTATCTTTGAGATCATGATTAATATTCCTGCTTTTTTATGTAATAAATTCTACTTCTGATCTTTATTTTATGTTTGTGTGTATCTTTCATTTTTATAGCATTTCCTGAAAGCAACATGTTGTTGAATTCAAATCTTTAATCTGCTATCAGTTTCTGTTTTATAGGTAAATTCATATTCTAAACTATAATTACTTGGTTTTTTAAATTTTTATTTTTAGTCAGTTGGGGTTAAGTGACTTGCCCAGGGTCACACAGCTAGTGAGCATCAAGTATTTGGTCTGAGGCTGTATTTGAACTCAAGTCCTCCTGACTTCAGGGCTGGTGCTCTATCTACTGTGCCACCTAGCTGCCCATATAATTACTTGTTATACATTTTCTCCTTCCTGTTTTCCTCACTGTCTTTCTCACCGTATTCCTCACTCCTCTCTTCACTTCTGTCTGCTTTGCCCTCCTATTCCTTAACCTACCCTCCTCCAAGAATCCCCTTATCCTCTCCCTCTACCCTATCCCCTTACCCTCTTATTTCTGAATGTAGAAGATTTTTATACCTTTCTAAAATATGTGCTGTTCCCTCTTTATCCCATTCCTGTTAATCTACACACCCTTCTATACCCCAGCTTATCCTATTCCCTATCCCTCCCTTATCCTCCCCCCCTTCCCTATCCCCTTACCCTCTTATTTCTTTCTGAATTTAGAAGACTTTTACACCCTTATGTATGTGCATATATATATATAATATACACATATACTATATATATATATACACATATATACTATATATATATATATATACACATATAATATATATATATATATATATATATATATATATATATATAGTTCCCTCTTTAACCCATTCCCAATGAGAGTAGGGTTCCAGAACTACCAGCCCTCCTCCCCTAATTCTTCTGTATTAGTTCTTTTTAAAATTTTTTTTTGTATTAGTTCTTCCTCTGATACCTCATTTGTATGAGATCATTATTCCTTTTAACCCTTTCCTGCATAATTTTTCTTTTTAGAATCACATCATACTCAGCTCTACCCCACTCTTCATTTCAAACTATCCAATTACTAATGACAATCCTAGATATATGGTTTACATTTCCACGTATAAAAAGTAAACAATTTGTTCTTATTGAGTCCCCTCTAATTAGTTTTTGATGTTTACCTTATATTTCTCTTGGATCTTGTATGTCAGATTTTCTATTAAGTTCTGGTCTTTTTGCAATAAAATCCTGAAAGTCTGTCAATTCATTGAATGTTTATTTCTTTTCAGTCAAGATTACATTTAACTTTGCTGGGTATGATGTTTTCAGCTGTAATGCAAGTTCTTTTGCTCTTCAATATATGGTGTTCCAAGACATGTGGCTTTTTTTTGTTTTGTTTTGTTTTGTTTTTAGTGGAGCCAGTGCTTGGTCTCATGTAATTCTAATTATGGCTGCACTATATTTGATTTTTTTTTCTTGTTGCTCATAATATTTTCTCCTTAACCTGGAGTTTTTGGAATTTGGCTATGATATTCCTGCAGGTTTTCCTCCAAGGATCTCTTTCAGGTGGTGATTAGTGGATTTTTTTTCTATTTCTACTTTCCCTTCTTATTCCAACACTTCAGGACATTTTTTCTTTCATTATTTCTTGTATTATTGTATCAAGAGTCTTTTTGTTTTATCGTAGCTCTCAGGTAGTCTGATTATTCTTATGTTTTCTTTTCTCGATCTGTTCTCCAGATCAGTTGTTTTTCTCATGAGATGTTTTACATTCTCTTCTGTTTTTTTCATTCTTTATATTTTGCTCATGTCTCCCCAATCCTGAAAAACCCTCATCCACACTAAGTATAGTCCTATGTCACTTTTATTTATTTATTTTTTTGGCTTATGGCATAAAACAAGCATTTCCATAACATAGTACAATTTAAAAAGATGATTGCACTTGAATCTGCAAATCTATTATGTATAACTTGCTATTCCTTTTAAATATATAAGAAAGTTATCATGGAATTTTTTTGTTTTTCTTTTATTCTCTCCCTCCCCCTCCACCCTAGAGATGGCTGCCATTAGACACAAATATTGAGTGTGTGTGTGTGTGTGTGTGTGTGTGTGTGTGTATGTAATATATAAAATCATTCAATATGCACTTCTATTTATCAGTTCTTTCTTTGGATGCATATAGCATCTTCCTTCCTAGTCTTTTGTGGTTAAAATTTGGGTATTTATAATAGTCAAAATGGCTTAATCATTCAATGTTGTTCTTAAAAAAATATTGTTGTTACTGTATACAATGTTCTTTTGGTTTCTGTTCATTTCAATCTTCATTATTTCATGCAAGTCTATCCATGTTTTTCCTAAGATAATTGAGTTCATCATTTCTTGTAGCACAGTAGTATTCCATCTCAATAGTATACCACAACTTGTTTAGCCATTCTCCAAGTGACAGGCATCCCCTCAATTTCTAGTTCTTTGCCACGACAGGAAGAGCTGTTACAAATATTTTAGAATATGTAGATTCTTTTCCTTTTTTCCTAATCATCTTTGGAAATAGACCTAGTAGTGGTATTGCTGAGTCAATCTTAATGACTTAATATCATCTTAATAACTCTTTAGGCATAATTCCAGATTGTTCTCCAAAATGGTTGAATCAGTTCACAATTCCTCCAATAATGAATTAGTGTCCCTTTTTTTTTTAAATCCCCTCCAAACTTTGTCGCTTTTCCCTTCAATAATTTTAGCCAATCTGGTAGGGTAAAATGATAGCTCAGAGTTGTTTTAATGTGCATTTCTCAATCAATAATGATTTAGAGCACTTTTTTAATATTACTATAAATTGTTTTGATTTCTTCATCTGAAAACTGCCTGTTCATATCCCTTGACAATATTTATGAATTAAGGGATGGCTTGTATTTGTATAGATTCGCCAAAGTTTTTTTTTTAATATACATTTGAGATGTTTATCTGAGAATCTTTCTATAACCCCTCCCCCAATTTTCTGCTTTACTTATGATCTTGGCTACATTTGTTTTATTTGTACAAAACCTTTTTGATTAAATGTAATCAAAATTATCCATTTCATACCTTACCCTGCTCTCTATCTATTGTTTACTCATGATTGTTCACCTTAATATAAATCTGATACATAATATATTCCATGTTCTTCAAAATTCCTTGTAATAGCTCTTTTTATATCTAGGTCATGTATCCATTTTGGCCTAATCTTGGTAGATAGTGTCTGATATTGGTCTGTGCCCAGTTTCTGCCATAATGTTTTCCAGTTTTTCAAAATTTTTTTTTAACAATTAATGAATACTTATCCCAAAATCTTAAGTCTTTATACTTGTCAAATGCAAGGTTATTATATTTATTTGCTGATGTAAATGATATGTCTATTCTGTTTCATTGATCCACTTTTCTATTTCTTAGACAATACCATATTTTGAAAATTATTGCCTTATAATATAGTTTGAGATCTGGTACTGCTAAGCTACCTTCCTTTACATTTTTTTCACTACTTCTTTTGATATTCTTGACTTTTTTCTTCCAAATGAATTCAATAAAATAGTTTTTTTGGCTTAATTTAGTTGGGATGTTATTGAATATACAAATTATTTCAGGTAAAATTATTTTTGTTATATTGGCCCTGCCTCCTCATGAACAATTAATATTTCTCCAATTATTTAAATCTGATTTTATTTATATGAAAAGGTTTTTTTGTAACTTTGTTTACATAGTTTCTGGGTTTGTTTTGGCAGTTGTATTCCCAGGTATTTTATATTGTCTGGAGTTATTTTAAATGGGGTATGACTTACTATCTCTTCTTGCAAGGTTTGTTTTCTTTATGATATATAGGGATGCTGATAATTTATGTGGATTTACTTTGTATGAGGCTACTTTGCTAAAATTATTGTTCCAAGTAACTTTTAAAGTTGAGTCTTTGGGATTTTCCAAGTATATCATCATATCATCTGCAAAAAGAGATAGTTTTATTACCTCATTCCCCATTCTGATTCCATTTCTTTTTCTTCTCTTATTGCTGTTACTAAGATTTCTAATACAATATTAAATAAAATTTGTGATAATGAACATTCTTTTTTCACACCTGATCTTATGGGGAAGGGTTCTAGTTTGTTTCCATTACAAATAATCCTTGTTGATGGTTTTAGATAAATACTTTTTAAAAAAATCAGTCTAAGGAAAAATCCATTTATATATTTTCAAGAGTTTTTAATAGCATGTTGTACTTTCTCAAAAGCTTTTTCTGCATCTATTGATATAATCATATTCTTTATACTTTTATTATTGATATAATCAAGAATGTTAATAGATTTTTATGTTAAAGTTTCCCTACATTCTTGGCATAAATTCCACTTGGTCAAAATATATAATTTTTGTAATATATTGTTTGATCTCTTAGCCAGTCTTTTAGTTTTTTGTCATCCATATTCATTAATGAAATTGGTCTATAATTTTCTTTCTCTGTTTTTAGTCCTCCTGGTTTAGGTTTCAGTGTCATATTCATTTCATAAAAGAAATTTGGTAGGATCCCTTCTTTGTCTATTAATCCAAATAATTTATTTAATATTGGAATTAGTTGATCTTTAAATGTTTGATAGAATTCACTTTTAAATCTGTCTGGTCCTGGTGCTTTCTTTCTTAGGAAGCTCATTTATGGCCTGTTCAATTTCTTTTTCTAAAATAGGTTTATTTAGATATTCTATTTCCTCTTCTACTAATGTAGGCAATTTACATTTTTGTAAATATTCTTCAATTTCACTTAAATAATTGAATTTATTGGCATATAATTGGGCAAAATAACTCCTTATAATTGCTTTAATTTCATCTTCATTAGGGATATATTCACCCTTTTTATTTTTAATACTAGTGATTTGATTTTCTTCTCTCTTTAAAATCAAATTAACTAATGTTTTATCTATTTATTTTTTTCATAAAACCAGCTCCTAGTTTTATTTATTAATTCAGTGGCTTTTTACACTCAATTTTATTAATCTCACCCTTAATTTTTAGGATTTCTAATTTAGTATTTAATTGGAGATTTTTAAGTTTTTTCCTAGTTTTTTTTATTGTATACTAAATTAATTGATCTCCTCTCTCAATTTGATTGATGTAAGGATTTAGAAATATACATTTTCCTCTGATTACTGCTTTTATTGTATCCCATAGGTTTTGATATGTCATTTCATTATTATCATTCTCTTTAATGGAATTATTGTTTCTATCATTTGTTCTTTAGCCTACTCATTCTTTAATATTAGATTGTTTAATCTCCAATTAGTTTTTAATCTATGTTTTCATGGTTCCTTATTAAATATATATTTTTTTGCACTGTGATCTGAACAGGATAATTTTGATATTTCTGCTTTGAACTATTTTTATGTACTAATATATGGTCAGTCTTTGTAAAGATACCACAAACTGGTGAGAAAAAGATGTATTCCTTTCTATTTCCATTCAATTCTCTCCAGATATCTATCATATCTAACTTACATAAAATTTTATTTACTTCCTTGACTTCTTTCTTATTTATTTTTTGATTAGATTTATCTAGTTCTGAGGGGGGAAGATAAAATTCCCCCACTAATGTAGTACTACTGTCTATCTCAATCTGCAATTTAACTTTTAAAAATTTAGATTTAATAGTATTTGGTACATGTAAGTTCAGTATTGATATTGTTTCATTGTCTATGGTGCCTTTTATCAAAATGCACTTACCCTGTTTATCTCTTTTAATTAAATCTATCTTAGTCATAACTTTGTCTGAGATTATAATTGCTGCTCCTGCCTTTCCTGCATCAGTTGAAGCACAATAAATTCTACTATAACCCTCCATTTTAATTCTGTGTGTATCTCTCATTCTTAGATGTGTTTCTTGTAAATAATATATTGTTGGATTTTGAATTTTAATCCATTCTGCTATCCCTTTCTGTTTTATAAGTGAGTTCATCCCATTCACATTCAAAGTTATAATTATTATTTGAAAATTTCCCTCCCATCTCATTTTTACTCACTATTGTCATTTTTAGCCTCTTTTTTTTAACCCTATCCCCATTACTTTATCTTCTCCCTTTACCTTCTTATTTCTTATTCTGCCCTCCACTCTAAGAGTGCCTCCCTTATTCTCTTCCCCACCCTCCTAAATCTTAATCTACAACCCTTCTAAAAGTCCCTCCCTCAACCTGTCCCTCAGTCCTGTAACTTCTCTATAAGTCCCAAAGACTTCTACACGGCTCCAAATGTACACATTTGTTTCCTCTTCAACCCAGCTCTGATGAGAGTAAGGTTCCAACATTACAGTTCACCAACTCCATCTGCTTCCTCTGTATTAATTCTTCCTTTCACATCCCATTGTTATGATAATTTCTCCTTTTTACCTTTTCCTACTCTATTTGTTTTTTTTAGAATCACCTCATCATACACAGCTCAGCCCCAATCTGACTTTCTAACTACCTAAGTAATGATGACGGTTTTAAGAATTCTGATAACACTTTCATATATAAGAAGTAAACAGTTTGACCTTAGTGGGTCCCTTATAATTCGTCTTTAATGTTTTCCTTATATTTCTTCTGGATCTTTTATATTGAATTTTCCATTGAGTTCTGGTCTTCTTGTCACAAATACAGAAAGTTTGAATTCATCAAATGACCTCTATTTTTTTTTTCATTCAGGATTATACTCAATTTTGCTGGGTAAATTAGTTTTAGTTGCAACCCCATCTCTTTTGCTCTTCCAAATATAATGTTCAAAGACCTATGTTCTTTTAGTGTAGAACCTGCTAGGTCTTGTGAAATCTTGATTTTATATTTGCAGTATTTAAATTGTTTTTTCTTAATGCTTGCAATGTTTTCTCCTTAATCTAGGAGTTTTGCAACTTGGTTATGATTTTCTTGTAAGTTTTCCTCCTGGGGTCTCTTTCAGGTAGTGAATTGTAGATTTAAAAAAAAAATCTACTTTATCCTCTTGTGCTAGGTCTTCAGGACAATTTTCCTTAATACTTTCTTGTAATAATGTGTCAAGATTTTTTTTTGATCATAACTTTCAGGTAGTTCAACAGTTCTTTTCTTGTCCCTCCTCAACCTGTTCTCCAGATCAGTTATTTTTCTAATGAAATTTTTCAGATTTATTATATTTTGCATATAATATATTATATATAAAATATATTATTATATAATATATCATTAACCCTTGTTACAGGACCTCCCTTTCTGAATGAAAACAATTATATTTAGCTATTCCCTTCACACATCTACCTTTCTCTCCTAAAGTCCCTTCCTTTAAAAAAAAACCTTTTGATTAATTTTTAAAAATTAAAAATTTTATTTATACCTTTTTCTATCACCTTCCTTTCTAAATGAATCCCTCCTACAAACTCTATCCAGTGAGCCATCTGTTACAATGAGACATTAAAAAAATAGAAAAAATAACTTTAAAAAAGTTCAGCAAAACTGTCTAACAAATTGACTGAGAATGACCATTTCTGTAATATGAAGCAGAGAGATTGATTTTTCTTTCTACATTCTGCAGCAGAGAGGAATGCACTCTCTGTTCTCACGGTCAGTCATTTGGCAGATATTTATCAAAAACTATTATTATTGTAAGGATAGCAAGCATTGATGTTCTTTAAGGTTTACAAAGCTATTTACATACAATCTCATTTGTTCCTTACAAAACCTTGAGAGATAGGTGCTAGTATTATCCTTATATTACAGATGAGGAATTTAAGACAGGCAGTGGTTAAGTGTCTTGCTGCTAAGTCCCTGAGGCAGGATTTGAACACAGGTTTTCTAGACTCCAAGTCCAACATTCTATCAACTGTATCACATAGTTGCCTCATTTTCTGTGTGCCAAGTAACTTCTTAGGTGCTGTATGTACAAAGATAAAAGTGAAACAGTTTCTGCCCTCAGGAAACATACAGTCTGTTGGAGGTGGAGAAAATATGTGCACATTTGTGTATATAAAATAAATATGTTAATTTGGTGGTGGGGGGAGGGGTGCTAGCAGCTGGGGAAGATTGCATGTAGAAGATGGCTGTGGATCTGTGCTTTGAAGGAAACTAGAGAAAGGATGCATTCCAGGCATGGGGTGGTGGTAGTGGTTAATGCAAAAGCATAGAGATAGGAGATAGAAGGGTAGATGTGAGGAACAGAGAAGGTTTTTTTTTTTAAACTTCACCGTAAAGTACATGAACAGAAATAATATACAATAAATCTAGAAAAGTAGGTTGTACCCAGGCTGTGAATGGCTTTAAATACCAAAAAGAAGATTTTGTATTTGATCCAGAGCTGCTGGGGTTTATTGAGGAGAGTCACAGTAAGGGTTAGAGTCAGAATTAGACTTAGGAAAGAGACATTATCAGACTTGTGCCTTAGTCATATCACTGGTGTTTATATAGAAAATGGGTTAGATTGAGGAGGGACTTGAGGTAGGGAGACCAAAGTGGAGGTTATTATAACTGTCCAAGTGAGAGATGATGAAGGTCTGTCAAGGGTGGTGGACACATGGGTGGGGAGAAGCGAATAGAGGTGAGAGATGTCACTGAGTTTGAATCAACAAGACTTGGCAACTGATTTGATTGCTGTGTGGGGTGAAAGAAAGTGAGGAATCAAGGATGACTTTGAAGCTGTGAAACAAAATGACTGGAAGCCTGGTGGTTCCATCAAAAGAATTAGAGGACTCAGGAAGAGGGTTCAGAGGGAAAGATAAAAGGTTCTGTTTCAAACATGTTGAGTTTGAGATACTAACGGGATGGCCAGTTCAGAATGTCTAATAGGCACTTGGGTGACATAAGATTGAAGTCCTATAAGAGAGGGTGGTGCTAGATACAGAGTTCCAGTTTAGAGATAGTAACTGTTGAGTCACCAGATGAGAAGAGAGGCCCCATGATAGTGCCTTGGCATACACTCACATTTAGGTGACTGGAGATAGATGATTATTCAGCAAAGGAGACTGAGAAGGAGCAGGTAAGAGGAGAACCAAGAGAGAGTAGCATCATGACAACCCAGAAAGGAGAGAGTGTTCAGGAGAGGGTGGTCAGTCATATCACATGATGTAGAGAAATCAAGAAGGATAAAGAATAAGAATTAGCACCAAAGAGATCATTGGTAATTCCGGAGAGAACAATTTCAGTTGGGTAATGAAGTCTGAAGCTCATATTGCAAAAGGGTTAGTAGAGAGTGAGAAGAGAGGATGTGGAGGCAAGGAGTACAAACAATATTTTCTAGGAGCTTGAATGTGAAAGGGAGGAGTGATACAGGATGGTCACTTAAGGGGAGAAGAGAGTCAAGTTAAGGTGGTGAAAGGATGGGACATACTCATTTGTGGCAGGTAAAAAACTAGTAGATAGGGAGAAATTTAAGGTTAGAAAGAAAGAGAATGATTGTGGAGGGATTTTGTTGAACAAGGCAGGAGGAGATAGGATCAAGGGTGCTAGTCAAATGGCTGACCTTCATTATAAGGACAATCTCTTCATAAGACACTGGCATAAATCTGGATAGAATGATAGATTCTGTCAAAGGAATTTTGGATGTAAAGTAGGGAAAAAGAGCAAGATTACAGCAAATGGCTTCCATTTTCTTCACAACATTCATAATAATGGGACTAGAGATGATTATTTTGATAATAGATATCTGATCTAAGCTTGATAAAGAGATTATCACAGAATCTTACAATCAGAGAGTTTCAGAGGATCTCAACAGTGATTTAATTTAATCTATTCATGAGAACAATCCTTTCTAAATTATGTATATGTGAAGCATAGGCCACGCTAAGTGTGCTAAGTGGTATTTCTTCTCTGCTTAGGATGAATACTCAACAATAAGAATCCTTGTGAGCTGTATTACCATTAACCATTTTGTGTGTTATTTCATTCTTGTTCTCCTCTTACCTTCTCACCTCAAAATTTTATGTTCTCCTGTATTCCTTCCTAATAAATTCCTTTTTGAATGTCTGAAGTATTCATGTGCTGTTATGAAGGGGCTGAAGAAGGTTGCAGGGTGGGACACAGAGTCAAATCTGGTGTTTCCACTACAAGTATTTTTTAGGTAAGGGGATGCCAGAAAACAAAAGTACAGGTAGGGAGGACCTAATAGTAAAGAGCAGGCAGTAGATGTATTGATTGGTATGAAACAAAATTTGCTTTATGAGGCCAGAGTGCTGGGAGAGATTGATTGTGCTGCGCAATATAACTGGGAATCTTCCATGTCAGAAGGCATAAGATCAATTTGCCAGGTACATGTGTAATGGATGAGTTGTCTCTATAGGGCAGGAGTTCTGAACCTGGGAACCATGAACTTTAAAAAAAATTGACATCACTATTTCATATCATTAAATTCAATATCCTATTTCTTTTGTAATACTATGCCATTTTTTTTTCATTTAAAAACACTGGAGAAGGTGTCCATTGTTTCAGCAGACTGCCCAAGGAATCCATGACAAAAGCAATTTAAGGGCCTCTGCTTTAGAGGAAGGGGGATTGGAGCTGGCCATATTAAATCATCTATTGTGATCTAAGTACTTACACAATATGTGATTTGTGATTTCTGTCTTTTAGTAATTGAACAAATATTGGGATTACCTGGGAATGTAGATGATTTATATTGCATAGTTATACAAAATTTAAGTATAAATAAGGGAAGAAAAAGAATTGAGCACCATCAATGCCCTGAGCCAGAGGGAAGATTCCTGGAAAACACTGAGTGAGACTTTCTGAATTTTATAATTCAGTTGTTCCAGTATTGGGATAATACAGGTATATGTAATGTGTAATTCTTTTGTAGGGAAGGCATCCTCAGCATATATATGTGTGTGTATGTGTGTGTGTGTGTATGGCTTAAAGTTTGATTGTATTTTCTTACTTTTTTGGTGAACTTGGTTTCTCCAACCACTGAGGCATTTTTTTCATAGAGGACATCAGTGTTGGAAGAAACCTCAGTAGCTTTACAATCCAACCCTAAAAACTCCACTAAACCGTACCTGAGAAGTAATTACCTATTCCTTACTACAGGGAGGGAGAATCAAGTGTCTCCCAAATCAATCCATTTCGAGTTAGGATATCTTTAATTGTCATCCCAATTTTCCTGATATCAAGTTTACCCTTTCTTCCTTGCAACTCCCACTTGTTATTTCTAGTTCAACCCCTTTAAGTAGAAAAGTCCATATATAACTCTCTTCTGCCTGTCAGCAGTAGCCAGCTGTTGCTTCCCCCTGAACCTTAAAGTGAGGCATTCCCTGATCCCATCAAATGATTCTTTTAAATTTCACATATTTTCCCATTATGTTCTTTTGTTTATTGTAACTTCAGAATAATCCTGTGATACTTGAATTACCTTTACACTATATTTGAATATCTTCTTTTCTTGGCTGCTTGCATGATTTTTGTCAATGAAAATTTTAATTTAGCTTCTATATGTCTGGATTTTGAAATGTAAGCACTACTGGCTTTTTCATTGGCAGTCTGTAGATGTTATTGATTCTTTGTTATCTGTATTCAAAAGTTAGGTACTGTTTTCTTTTGTCATTTTCTGCATTAATGGTATTCCAGTTTTTTCTTTAACTTTGTCGTGTTCTTTTGGAAGGTTAAGATCTCTAAGTTATTTGTTCTTGCCTTCAAGGTGAGTCAAGTTGGCTTTTATAGAATTCATGTCTTGAATTTTGCTTCTCTTCCAACAAATTTCCCCCCACTTTAGTATTTTTGTGTTCTGTACCTGCTGTTCTCTCATTTTTATGGCTTCCATCTTTGGATATTCCATTTTTCTTGCTCTGCAAATTGTGTGTTTAAATTCTGTATTATGACTTCCAGTTTCTGCATTGAGAGACTTAATTCCTGATAAAACTTCCTCCTTAATTGTTATAACATTCATTTCTTTTAAAAATTCTTCTGGATTTATTTGTTTGTTTGTTTTCCTATTGGTCTTTGAGAATGCCACAGCACTCTATCATTTGTCAAGAAAATATTAGGTTACTTTCCTTAATATTAACAATATTTGTTTAAAGCCCTTTGGTTTCTTTTTGAAGTTTTGTTCATTGGTCCTTCTGTTTTTAGGATTCTCTCTACTGGCTCATCTACTTGTATGCTGGGCTTTTATTGATACCTTTTTAAAAAATGTATTTTTGGTGTTTCAGCCTTTTGCATGAATTCCTGTCACTTTAATTTTTCCCTTTGATCTATTCCTCTTTACTGATACACAGACTCTTGAAGCTGAACCTTCTCACAAGAGCACTGATTATCTGTGTGCTTGGCCCAGGAACTTTCCATGACTAGCCTCTGGGAAGAGTAGACTGACTCCTGAAGATGCTAGGAAGTCACTGGACTGTCATTGAGCAGGGAGGTCACATGATCAAGCCCTCCCCGACTTTGGAAAAGCCATCTAGGAAGCAGAATGGAGGATGGCTTTTAGTAAGCAGAGACTCCAGGCAAGGAAACCAACCAGATGGCTTTGTGGTCACATAAAACACTTGTGGTCAGATAATACACTAAAAAAAGACAAAAACCAGATGATTATTGAATGTTGGGTATATGAAGAAAGCTGTGTATGTGTTATTCTTTTTGCTTCCCACTACCTTTGTGATGCTTAAAAAGTTTGAGAGGCATAATAGCTGGGTAATTAATCATTTTATTAATGATGCAAACATGTTACCAGTAAAATGTATCAGTGACGTTCTCGAATGCCAAAGACACACTCAATGCTTATATACCCTTGGAAGGGTGGTTGCTTCTGAGGGTGGCAATCAACTCTGGTTAACAATTAATGAGAGAATGAATATTATAATGTTAGGTGAGCTTATTCTGATGAGGTTCTTGGGTTATATGACAGGAGCTCCAAAATTTTGGTGAAAGAGATTTATCAATTTCCAGATCACTCATCTGACAAAAGGGAGAATCCATATTTTCGCAGATCTGTCTGATTAGACACAATGAGCAGGAATCTACCCATTCACCTAAACTTAGAATTTTTTTACTCTTTTTGACTAAGTTTTAACCTGGGTAAGTCTTTGTCCAAGATTTCCCACACTGGTTGATTTCTGGATGAAGAAATATAAAAGGGAAAAACCTTGGTCCTAATTCAATAAGTATTTATTAAATATGAGAGAAATAATCATTTCTCTCACCTTATAATGCATGAGAGCAGAGGCCGAGTGAGTGGAGAGAAGTGGGTATATCTGAGTGATGTTATGAGTATAGAAATAATCATATTTGGCAATGGATTGGATATGGGGGGGTCAGTGAGATCGAGGAGCCAAGGACGACACTTGGGTTACAAGCCAGGTGACTGAGATGATGGAGATGCCCTAAAAACTAATAGAGAAGTTGGGGATATTGGAGGATTTGGAGGAAAAGCTACTGAGTTCTGTTTCAGATATGTTGAGTTTGTGATGTCTGTGAGATATCCACTTAGAGATATCTAGATGACAGTTTGGTGATATGGGAGGAGAGAGACTAGGGGTGGAAATGTAAGATTGGGGATCATTGGCATTGACATGATCATTGAATCTATGGGAGCTGATGAGATCACTAAGCAAGACAGTGTAGTGGGAGAAGAGAGGCCAGGATAAGGCCATGGGGGACACAATTAGTGGATTTGACCTGGATGAAGATTGAGCAAAGAGGACTGAAAATCATTAATGAGAAATGTAGGAAGAAAAATAAGAAAGAACAATGTCATGACAACTGACAGAGGAGGGAGTATCTAGGAGAGCGTGGCCAACAGTGTTAACTGTGGCAGAGAGGGTTTTGCATTTGGCCTGTGACTCTGAGAAGTGGATTTTGTCTTGTTTCACTCATCCTTTTCAGTTCTAGGTTCAGGGAGTAGAGTCCAACACCTGGGAATGTAAACTCTGGGGACCTTAGAACCCAAGATTCTAGGTCATATGTTGCTACTAGATCAGCAGGAAAGTCCTAGGAAGACCAGATCCTGGGTCACGATCCTGGGGCAGAGGGGGAGCAGGGGTTTGGTCCTGGAACTTGGTGGTACTAATGCAGTGTAGGAACCATGAACCTAATGTCCTTCCCCTCCCCAAAGACCTGAAGTGGTGTAGGATGATTATAACTTTCCCCCTAAGCATTGGAGGAAATGTTTTCCATGTTGGTTTTTGGTATATTTTTGAAGCAAATGTTCCTTTGTAAAAGCTAATCTGAGTGTTAAGTGGTTAGTTGAACCTGCAGTGCTTGGACCCCTAAAATTGGAGGATCACAAGTGATAAGGACTTGAGCCACTGGCCGAAATGAGAGACTCCCTCTACAGTACTCTGGGGAAATGATGAAATGCAACAGACAAGGCCTTTGGGCCATGGAGAGAGAGAATGACTGTTATGCTTACACCTAGCACAGTGCCCAGGATGGAGCAAACAGAAATGCTTGCCCATGAAGGAAGTTGTGGACTCATTATTCCCCTTGCTTCTCATTAAATTACAAGTCCATGATGGTAGGGGCTATGCAAATGCTGGACTTAAGATGCATCAAGGTTGGTCAAACAAGTGAGAAAGAGCAGCATTGTGTAGCAGATCAGGGTTACTGTGGTCCTGCTGTCTTCCTGTCCATGTACTGGCTGTTCCTCAGGATTAGAATGGCTCTCATTCCCAGTCTCCCAATCTTGGAATCTGTGGATTCCTTTAAGACCCGGCTCAGAACCAGCTCCCCCAGGAGCCCCTTGATCCCCCTAGCTGTCACTCCCAATGGGATCATCTTTCATCCACTCTGTGCTTATCTTGTACCTTTTGACTTACATGGGTTCTCCGCCATATTAGACCGCAAGTCAACAAGCATCGATTAAGTACTGACCATGTGCCAAGCATTGCGCTAAGCACTGATAATACAAATATAGACAGAAAGGCAGTGCCTGCCCTCAAAGAGCTTACATTCTAACAGGTGAAGACAGTGCGTAGAAGGGAGCTAAAAAAGGGGAAGAAAGATGATAATACCCCATAACAGGGAATTCAAGGGAAAGTTGTGGAGAGCCAAGAGTCTAGCCTGGAAAGGGATGAATTCATAGTTGGACTGGGCCTCCTCCTTCAAACAGAGGTTCTGGAAGAAGTCAATCAGTAATAGGGAAAGGCTATGGGGGTGGAGGTATTTCCAATGGGTAAAGTCCAGGGGTGGGGTGAGCTTCCAGAGTGAAGAAATTCTTGGACTATGGTAGAGAAAATCTGGGAAGAGAGTCAGGAGTGCGGCCTAGAGGGAATGAAAAATGCTTCTTAAGTGCTTACCATGTGCCAGGCACTGTGCTAAGGGTCAGTGACACAAGTATGAAGTTCAAACCATTTCTTCTCTCGGGGAGCTTCCATTCTCATGGGGGAGTCAGCACACAGAGCCGGGTGGCTGCCAGAGACAGCAGTGTGGGTAGTTCTGGGGATGGTGAGTGGAGTTGTCAAGCCTGAGACTGACAAGCCCTTTTCTGAAACTGAAGTAATGTTGATTTGATTATTATTATTCCCAAAGCAAGAGGCAGAAAGTAGGTAGTTAACTGGGCATTAACTTTAATACTGACTTGAGAAAACTCGCTCTGCTAAAAACCACCCTACTGATGTCCCAATTTCATGCAGGTACACAATGTGGTGGCTCTTAGCTGTGGCATGTTTCCTCCGTGTCATTGGGAATGCTCATTGTTTGTTTATGGATGTCCGTCCTGGCAACCCCAAAGCTCGACTGAGTGTTGTGAGTTGTTTTTGGTATTAGCAAAAATATTTCCAAGCTGGCCATGTGACCACTCATGCTCTCCACTCTTCTAGAGTCTGTTCACTAGTAAAATGGAGTGTGTGATTATTCTTATTTGTTACGTGTTGAGCCAGATGGAATTTCAGCATTGTAGTGATAACAAAGGATTTGCCTTTTCTTCCTGTAGAGCCAGATGATTTCTTACTGGGGCTATCCCAGTGAAGAGTATGAAGTTATAACTCAAGATGGTTATATACTTCAAATTAACAGAATTCCGCATGGAAAAACAAGTGGCTTTCATTCAGGTATAGTATGTGTTAGATTAAATTATCTAATTTATGTCAATCCTGGGGCCTGGAAGTCTTGCCTTCATGTGGAGAAACTCAGGTCATGGAAATAATTTTGAAATGAAATCAGTTTTTACAAGTCAAGAGCTCTTCCTGCATGTCAAAGGGAAAGGAGAGGAACATCTGATTCTCCACTGACTGGTGGAAAAGGTGCCTGATGCATGGGGCTGCTCTCTTCAATGGGCAAAGGAGTAAAATATAGATGAAAATAAAAGGTCAGAGAAATAAGGTCAGGCCTCATTCAGAATATCATGATCCATGAGAGACACCACATTTCAGGAAAGTGGTGACAAGCTAAAGGACACTCAGAGAAGGGGACATCAGAAGTATGTAAAGTCCAGGAGAAGGGTGCATTCCAGTGTGAAGAGGTTTTTGGGGTATGGTAGAGAAAGTTGGGAAGGAGAATAAGGAATGCAGCCTGTACAGGAATGAAAAACATGGATTAAGGAAGGTTGGATTGGATCAGACCTTACCATATAAATTTCAGTTGATGCAATTATTGATTTTAGATTTATTCTGTCTCTGGCAAAGATACAGAATAGAGGAAATATGGTACCTTGCTTCTACTATTCCGATGAATGGCTAATGGAAGAGGGGATTCAACTGGCCATTCTTGGCAGCAGAGGTCAGATTTTGGTACAATAGGTAGCTATTACCAAGAGTCAGATGCAAAGAAAACCTCCCTAATGTCTGGAGCTATCCAGAGGTGAAATGAGCTGCCTCTGAGAGGTTGTGAGTTGCCTCTCATTGGGAAAAAGACTGTCCCTTGTCTGCTCTGCTGCAGACGTGTCTCTGGTGGGGTGTGGCTTGGACTCGGTGATGTCTAAGGTCTCTTCTAACTCTGAGGGCCAAGATTTCCAAATCTAGAGCTCTGTCTACAAGAGATCGCATGGCATTGGGCATGTGCCATAGCTGTTGCTGGGTGTCTCCTCTTCATTCTGGGTATTGTCTTGATGATTGGATATTCTAACCACTCTGAGTCAAAGGAGGAGGGGAAAAGACAAAAAAAGCTATGGTTCTTGTTTTACAGATAATCCGTGAAAGAAATAGCCAAAGAAAACTTTCAGTTTCGAGGAAATTAGAAAAAATTCTGGTGGGTATGACACAAGGCATTGTTTGAGGCATTTTCATGGTGACAGACATCCTGTTGCTGAATGTTGCCCACGTTTCTTTCTCAGTCAGGAGGCCTGCTGTGTGTCTCCAGCATGGTCTCCTTGTGACTGCCGGCTGCTGGATTTCCAACCCGCCAAACAACAGCCTGGGCTTCCTGCTGGCTGATGCTGGTTATGATGTGTGGCTGGGGAACGGCCGGGGAATATCTGGCCCAGGAAACCCCTTTATTTATCGCCAGACTCCAGAGAGTTCTGGTCGTTCAGGCAGGGAAACAAATAGTGCTTCACTTCTCACTTGCAAATGCAGTGTGGCCTGTCTGTCTTAGAAAAACACACTGTAAGAAAACGAGTACAACATGGGTGGCAGGAGTCTTTTCAAGTAGAATAAGAAATAAAGGTCAGAAGTCTTGACTCCAAAGCATTTCTTTCCCTGAACCAGGATTTGTGCTGAGAGACTTGGGTGGGATGAGAAGGAGCTCGATGGGACTTCCCCACCTTCCTCCCCCTCCCCCACTCAGCCTCCCTCTCACCTCTGGTCTCTGGGAATAGAGGGCAAACGGAAGGGCAGCAAGGAGAGGGGGGACGTGTGAGCAGAGGACCAGAGGGCCGAGGGACAGGGGCGAGAGGGCGGCACTCTCGCCCGCCCTTCCCGAGGCAGAGCTTGTGCTGGGGCCTCCTGTTACAGAAAACCGTGCGTAGCTTGATGGACGAGTGTGCAGACTGCTGGACTTGGAGTCATGAAGACCTGAGTTCTAATCCTGCCTCCAATTCCTGCTAGTTACATAACCCTGGGCAAACCACTTATTCTCTGTCTTTCTTAGTTTCTTGTTTGGAAATAGGAATAATCGTACCTCACCTACCACACTTGTCATGAGAGAGGAATCAAGAATTTATTAAGTGCCTGCTGAGGGCCAGGCCCTGTGCTAAGTGTTGACAAGTATTACCTCATTTGATCCTCACCGTAAGCCTGGGAGGTAGATGCTATTATTAACCTTCATTGTACAGTTGAGGAAACTGAGGTAGACAGAGGTTAAGTGACTTGCCCAGGGTGATACAGCTAAGAAGTGTCAGAATCTGGGCTTGGACTTGGGCCTTCCTGACTCCAGGCCCAGCACTCTCTCCACTTCTGCCTAGCTTCCCAGATAACGTATGAGAAAATGATCAGTCTCCACCACTGAGGAGTATTTCAGCCACTTGTAATATGTGCAGAGTGCTTTGTAAATCTTACAACTCTGTATTAGTATTACCTAATATTAACAGCTTGAAAAAAGCACTCCAGCTTTCGTTTGAGGGTTTCCTGTTGTTATGCTAGCTGCAGCAGCTCTTTATGCAGCCAGTGCTCCAGGGGAGCTGTGATCTCAGTCATGTGGACACTCTTCTGATAGGGAGCTCAAGCCATTCAGGTGTCCTCGTCTCATGTGATTGTTGTCCTCATCATTCCATTGACGAAGGAGTGGTCCAGATGCTGGGCTATGTGTAAGGGACACACATACTAAACAGTGAAACAGTTCTTGCCCTCAGGAAGCATCTGCTCTGCCCGGGGAGACAATATGTACCTGTGTGAGTGTATCCGGAATCCAGATAAAATCAGTGCAGAGTACTTTAGAGAACCCATGGTCAGAGCCCATCTGCCTTTCAGGGGCAGTGCTCCTCTGGTTTTTTGGATACTACACAGATCCCATAAAGACATGAAGTCTTTGTTGCTTCTCCATCTTACCGTGTGATGGAGCCTCTTCCTTGTCCAACCACCCACATCCTTGGAGGGGTCTTTGATGTCACTTGTTGTGCACGAGTCATCACTGGTGAGGTGAATCTGAAAGAGGGAATTCATTTTTTATCTCTTTCATCTAGTTCATTTTGCCTTTTGTTCCTATAGTTGTGATGAGATGGCCAAAAATGATCTTCCAGCCATTCTTGACCTGATCAAAAAAGAAACTCAGCAGAAGGAAGTATATTTTGTGGGGCACTCTCAAGGCACCACTATTGGTATGTCAAGACTGCCTTTTGGGTACTGGTGGAACTGGACCCTCTTGGAACTGAGGAGTGTAGCCAATCAGTGGCTAGTTCTTGTGAAAGGTTACGGACTGTGTTGTTGCTCGGTCGTTTTCAATCGTGTCCAACTCTTCGTGACTCCATTTGGGGTTTTCTTGGTGGAGACAGTGGAATGATTTGTCATTTCCTCCTCCAACTTATTATGTAGATGAGCAGGATGAAGTGACTTGCCCAGGGTCACCTAGCTAGTAAGTGCCTGAGGCCAGATTTGAACTCAGTAAGAGGAATCTTTCTGACTCCAGGCCTGGTACTCTAATCTACTATACTCTGTGCCACCTAACTGCCCCCTAAGGAGCAGAGAAAGTTATTTTAGCTGCTTTTGGCATTCTCCCTGGGGCAGAAGCAGCCTACAATAGGGGTCAGAGGGCTGGACTGATAGGACACCTGGGTTCAAATCATGCCTCAGATGCTAACTACAGTCATTGAGTGACCACCTGCATGCCCCTTACCCCTCAGAACCCCATCTCTCTCCCCCATCTATAACACAGAAAGGATTTTTACATGCCAACCCATCTGGGCTATTGTGAGAGAAGTGTTCTACAAAGGTGAAGGTTATTCTCAGAGCATTTCTGGTTATGCTCCATATAATGCTATGGGGTATTTTCAAAGTATGGCCTGAGAGGGACCCCTTGCTGCTTATTTAGGCAAAGAGAGAGAGCTTACAAACTCCCTGAGGGCCACCTTGAAACTTCAGGTCAACTGGAGGCAGGGCCTGGTGGCCAGAGCCGGGTGGGAGACATTGAGACGGAGCTGGGCCCCTTTCAGCACCAGTGCCCAAGCCATGCCGTGAGAGCTAGCTGTAAGAACTTCTAGGAAGGTTCTTGTTTATGCTGTTTTCTAATGAATGTTCAAATTTTCCAGACTTCCCCTAGTAGCCCCTTAATTGACATACATTTGTTCCCCTCATCTACACTCCCTATAAATGATACCAGCTCAAGTGGACATTAGACTTGGCTCAGATTTGGAGGAGATTCCTATGGGCAGCCATAGTTTGATCCTTAACATATGGCCATCCATTCTTGTCTTGAAGACCTCTAATGAAAGGGAGCCAAATGCCTCCCATGCAGACCATTCCTCTTTGGGATAGTTCCAATTGTTTTGCAAACTTCCCTCACCTCCAGCCTAAACTTCCTTCTGTCCAGCTTCTACCAATTTTTCCTAGTTCTAGCCTCTGAGAACAAAGAGACCGAGTCTAATCTTTCTTTGAGACAGCCCTTCTGACACTCAGACAGCACTCAGATCCCCCCAGTCAGCTCTGCTCTGGGCTAGTTCCTTTGATCAGTCTTTATTTGGCATGAACTCAAAATCCTTCACCATCCATATGGGCTGACTGTAGAAGTCATATTAATTATTTTCATTTACTTCAGTTGATGCTTATCATTTCTTTCCAGTTTCTATGCAGCACAATACTCCTGAGAGTGTAAAAGTTTAGTTTTTGTTCTATTTAATTACAGAAATGGACTCTCATTGGGCAGGTTACCCCTTCAATCTTTGCCTTACATACTCAGGTCATCTCTACACTGGTAAATGACATCTGTGAGGAAGAAGTGAACAGCCCCTTTGCAGGCAGGGGGATTCAGCCCTGAGAACATGACTCATTCCTGCTTGAACGTGCCTTCTATGTGGTTGTAGGCAATTTTCCTTTGTTGCTGCTCAGTTTAATTATGTGCTTTTGATTTAAGTTGACATGTGCTCTGCTTTGGTCTTGTTCAAAGGAAGACGTCAACTGGGGTCTCACGAACTATGATTTTAACAAAACGTATACTTGAAATTAACCTTAAACCTCAGGGTAGCTTTAGACCCTCAAAAGTCAGAGGGCCACAGGACTGAATTTCCTTCTTTTTTATTTCATGGGATTTTTGTGCAGACTGACATCCATTCTCTTAATATAATTTTGAATTTTCATTCGTTGTTCTAAGGTGCTAACTATTCATTTCCCTACTTGACCATCATAGGAATTTTTCTCCTTAATCCATTTATTCATCCCACCTAAGGTAAATTGTATAATGCTTCTACTTCCCTGCCCTGTGCTAGGTACTGTGGGCTGTAGAAGGTCATAATAACAACAAACATTTATGCATCACTTTAAGGTCGGCAAAGTGCTCTACAGACCCCATCTCTGATTCTCCCGCCAGCCTTGTCACATAAGAACTCTTGCTATCTTATGGGATAGAACTGAGACTCAGAGGCAGTAAGTGTCAGAGGCAGGAGAATGTTGATTGGGGTGAAATTGGGAAAGATGAGAGACAGAGAGACCATCTAGGAGATGAAGGCATAATCTGGGCAGGAGATAATCAGGGCTGGAGTTGGGCTGCTGGCTCTGGGGAAAGAAGGGAAGGATGGGGTTTAGTTGCTTTTTATCTTTCAGCCTTTGAAGGGATGTCAACCAACCCCAAAGTGGCTGAAAGGATCAAGATTAATTTTGCATTAGCTCCAATTTCCATTCTTAATGATCTGCATGGTCCTACCTTGCTCCTGGCAAAACTCCCTGACACGTTATTCAAGGTAAATGATACTTCAAATAGCTATGAACCAGAGGAGGCAGAAAGGAGAGAGCCCGAATGAAAGGATACTCAGGACCTTCTGATATCTTGAACCCCAGAGACCGAAAGCACCAAAGGGCTTGACCTGAGAGCAATGACTTCTACTTCTTGGGGCTAGACCCCCATGACTCGTTGAGGTGCAGAGTACTGGATCTTTAGGGTAGTCTACTGTGACTTGGGACAGAGCCCAGGCCTGCTCTGGGCACTGCTGCTCCTGGTGGCTTCCAAGACCACTATCAATTTCAGTCCCTCTGGAGATTCCTGGGTGAGCCCTTTACTCTTGCTGCCTCAGGATGCAGAGCATTGTGGGCTGTGAGGGTCGCTGGCCAATCTTCGTTCATCCTGGGAGGCTGCCATCTTTCATGCCTTAACACGTGGTGCTCTTTCCTACTGTTCTTGGCTTTCTGTCTGGCCTTGAGGATGGGTCTTGGGTGGAAGAAGCCACTCACTGTATTTGTTCATTGGATATTTTTATCATTATTTGGGCCAGTGTCATATTTCAGTTTTTGTCTCTTTTGTGCAGCCAACTTGGCCAGAAGTGCTCCATGTTCTTTAAAGAAAGCTTTTCTGAAGTGTTTGCTGTTTCTTTCCCCATGCAAGAGTTCCATTTCCCCTTGTATTGTTGCCTTTCTGAATCTTCCTAGCCCTACCAGCTAGTTTCCTGCTCCTTGCCCTTCACTCCTCTCTCTCATCCCTACCTTAAATCTCTTCTTGCCTTTCTTTTCTTATGGACACAGAAAATGTCTGTCTTAATTTGGGTGATTTTTTACCAATTTCATTTTTCTCTGCTTTCTGGGTCACATTCACTGTCCAACTGAGACAGTACAATGGCATGTCTTAGGATGGCAGCATTACTGGCCTATTCTAAAGATGTCTATTTTTCACTTGTGATTCACGAAAGAGCTACAAATGTGGCCTCCGCTTTGAAGGGTCCTCAGAATGTTCTTGGCTGCCCTTCAGAAACCCTCCTGTCCCCTGTACCCCTTAGGCACACAGAACCTACCCAACTGAATTGGAGAAGAAGCCATCAGCTTACATTTTTTCCAGTCAGCTTGGCCCTAATAGCTAAAGCCAGGTCTCATTTCCCTGGGCCTCTCTGGTTTTTTGCCAGAAGGGCAGGGCACTCTGGGGAATTTGTCTGTGGCTTTGCTCTTTGAGGTGTTACAGGACTGGTTTCCTTTGGACACTGACCAGGGTTTGAGAGTGACGAGTAGGGGCATCTATGGAAAATGATCCTCGGCAGGTCATTTCTGCTAAGCAATGTCAAAATTCCTGAGGAACCCAGCCCTGCTGTGCAGGTGAGAAGGATAGAGCTCTGCTATTGCTCACTGACATCTTTCTCTAACCTGCCTTTTGCAGATCTTGTTTGGGGAAAAGGAATTCTTTCCCAATAGCTTTTTAACCCGCTTCACTGGCCAGGATCTGTGCAACCGTGAGATCTTTTCCACAATTTGTGACGACGTCTTATTGTTGATAAATGGATTTGATACCATCAATTTCAACAAAGTAGCCGTAAACACACACACACACACACACACACACGCACTTAACAGAATAATGCATGTAGAGCACTTTGACTTGGTCCCTCTACCATCTCTGAAAACTCTTCTGCTCTGTGTTCCTTTTCACTATTAACTAGAAGGAGCTGTCCACACTTTCTCAGTTGCCACTCACTCTTAAACTCCTTTAATGTAGTCTAGGTTCTTCCTCCACTTCACTAAAACTGCCCTTTATCTAGTAGCTTTGCTCAGTCCTGTGCAACATGTGACCCTGTTGACCACCTTTTCCGCCTGGACACTGTCTTCTCCCTGTGCTTTGTGACATTACTCTGTCAGAGCTCACTTCCTGCAGAATCTTCCACTGGTTCCTCCCACTAGTGTATCCCAGACCTGGGTTCCGGGCCTTCTCTTTCTTCTACATGGTCTATCTTGGTGATCTCATCAGTTGCCATGGAGTTAACTGCCCTCTCTATGCAAATAACTTCTAAATCAACACATATATCCTCCATATCTGTCTTGTATGTCTCCAACTGCCAGTTAGACATTTCCAACCAGATGTCTCATAGGCATATCAGACTTACCATGTTCAAAACAGAATACATCACCTTTCCCTCTAAGCCCACCTACTCCTGATTCAACTTTTGCTGTCAAGGGCCCCAGGACCTTCCAGTCCCTCAGGTTTCCACCATGAGAGTCATCCGTATTTCTTCACTGCCCATTCCTCCACCCACATATTTGATCAGGTAGTAAGTCTGGTCCATTCTCCGCCTTCAAAACCTTTTACTTGCATCTGAAGCCTTCCATAAATGCTTGTTCGGTGATTGACACCTGTCTAGACAGATTTCCATTCTGATTCAGATGGACTCTCAGGTCCTCCCCATTTTCAACATATTGGCTCTTCTCAGACAAACATTAGCATATCTCCAATTCAATTACAGAAAGATTTCTCTGGGTCAGGCCTAACCAAAGGTTGTCCATGAACACACAATCCCAATTCATTAGCCTGGAAATACTCCAGTCAAGTTTTGCCAGAAAGTCATCAGATGTGAAAGGAAACTAATTTGGAAAAAAAAAATATTTCTTTATATCTATTTTTGCAGAGTCGCATTGATATATATCTTTGACAAAACCCAGCAGGTTCTTCTGTTAAAGATGTGCGCCATTTCTTACAGGTATAATTTTTAAAATTTGATTCCAAAATAATTTGCTGAGCACAATTTTCCTGTATGCTGGATTCCCCTTTAGATCTCTTTCTATTTCCTGGGTCATGGTGCAGCTCTCAGGCTGCCCAAGCACCAGCCTTTGCTACATGATGGTCCCTCGATTATACATTGGCTCAGTAAGATCATAAATAATTATTATTATACCACTCCCTACATTCAGGCTGTCCTTGGGAATGTACTGTAGCTGACTTAGGCCCTCACACGTCTCTCTTTGGGACCACTTACAATTCTGATAGTATAAGGCTTCTGGTATTTCATGGTTCTTAGTTATGCAGAATGACTGGAACATCATTGGTATAAACAAATATGCATGTACATCCATATACATATAGGCACATATACATATATACCAAGGCATATACATATCCATGCATGTGTATACATACACACATACACAACATGTATATGTGATACATATGTACATGTATACATATACAAGTACATCTACATATATAGTGTCCCCAAATTTTAGTGCCATTTTAAGCTAATAGAGCATAAAATTGCATTAAGACGTCTGAAGCACAATTAGATTCAGTGTCCTAAATACAGTGTAGCTCCCACGCTTCCCCGCCTCCCTATCCCACCAGAAGTCCAAGGAAGAGGGAGCACTAGAAGAGCCCAGAAGAGGTCAAAGGGAGACGATTTGTTTCCACCTCTGTCAGACACCACTGAAGGGAGAAGTGCCTTCACAGGGGTCTTTCCTTCATAATACTCAGCACCAGTCTTCATCAGTGGAATTCCCCAGGTGTGGAGACCCATGGGCACCAATATGCATGTTCTTCAGTATTGAACTAGAGGGCATTTCAAGCTTCATGGGAAATTTCTCCTTGATAACCTGTGTTACCCCTAGATGAGGTGTTAGGCTTATCCCTTTTGGGTAGTGGTCAATGTCTTCAATGAGCTTCTGGGGCCTGAGGCCATCCAGTCAGAGAGCTTGGGTGATGGCACTGTTTATAGGGACCAATAACAAGCCATCCTCTATGCCAGGGGCCACCCCCCATCCCAGCTCCTCATTCAGTGTTAAGGAAAGAGTTGATGAACTGAAGTTTCTTATTGATTTCATCAGTTAAGGAATTTTGTAGGATGGCAACAAATGTAACATTGTTGAAAAAGTGCCTTGAAGGCAGGGCCCTGCTGCGCTGAGCTTCTGGTAATCAAACAATGAGCAAAACAATGTCAAGGATCTCTGTACCTCCCAGGCAACTGTAGGACAGAAAAAAAGGCAGTTTGTGGCAGAAAAGTGTTGCGAAGAGAGTCTGTTATCTCTTCACACTCAACATGGTCAAGCTCAGAGTTATGATGCTGTATCCTTTTGGTAGGGGAATGTGGGGTCCAGACCTATACTTTCCCCTATAGAGAACTCCCAGTCAGGAAAACTTCCTGTACCAATGCAGAATTGACACATTCCTTGGGTGCTGAGAAGCTGTGCCAGGGTCACCAAGCCCCATGTGGCAGAGGTATAATTCTGTTTTCCTATTCCCAGCTCCTCATTGCTGCATCATGCTTGTTCAATATGAGGTTGGGTGGAGAAGGAAAAGTCATCATACAAACGTATCCCCCAGTGAATCAGCCATTTTAGTTCTCCCTCACAATTCTTCCCTGCTTATCCCTAACATCTTTCTCACTTAGCCTCCCAGTAACTGTCTGCAGGTGAAAATGAGCTGAACATAAAGGAATAAGAAAGGTCTTACAGAAAATTAATGGAGACTTCAGATGCTTTTTTTTGGCAACAGTAACACATTTTAGGATCCTGTCAAATGGAATATGAAGGACGTCGTGTCCTTGTGTTCTACCATCTTGTCCAAAAATATACCATCCCCTACCCCAAATCAACACCATTCATTTTTGCTCAATTTGAAAATTAGCATGTATCATTATAATTATTAATTAATCATAATAACTTAAATTTTGACAAATATAAGATAAAAATAACCTATTTTCATAATTTCTATTACACTTTTCAAGATAAAGTCCCAATAAAATCTTTTTTACTCCACTATGGAATGTTGGTCCTTGTGGTAAGTGTATTCACTTTGGATGACCCTTCTCAGGCACCAGTCACTTCAGGTAACATAGACCTCCAGAGCACTTGCTCTGAGGATACACATACATATTGTCAAACAAACAAACAAAATGAACTTCACAAAGATGAGGATCTAGTCATATAAATCAGTACTTACTCATGTCCTCTCAATTGCCTCTAAATTTGTCCATGAGTCCTTCCATTCTTTTAGTATCATCCCCTCCCTGAGATAGCCTAGAAAATTCCCTCCCAAATGCTTTCATTTGGCACTAATTTGTGCTTCCGCCAGCACAGATGTCCTCTAGGTACTTGGCTTGGTCCCACTTCCTCATCGCATATAAGGAACTGAAGAAATAGAATCCCAATAAATGTTATTTTTGGGGACACTAATCAACCTGTCCCATTTTCCATCTGTAGCAGAGGATTAACCAGGGAAACTTCCCATGGAACTGGGCATTCACTCTGGCTATGGGTGGAAGGCTGTATGCCTTGTGGACTCTTTGCTCATCCTCTTAACTAGAAGATTTTATCAAAGATGACTGGTGACTGAGTTAGGAGGAACACAGTCTTTCAGCACATTCTCTCCCTTAGACTTCCAGCAAGATGGAGAATCAGCCATTTCAAGGGAATGTACCACTGTCATATATGTGGCTGCCATGGCTGGGGAGGGGAGGGAGAAGAGAGACACATATATTTTTAGTGACAGTCATTTAGCATCTGGGAAATCTATGAGACAGCAATTGTGGTATACAAAGTGCTGGGCCTAGGATCAAGAAGACTTTACTTCAGATCCCACCCCTGATACTCACTAGCTATTTATCCAATGAGGAACTCACTGAACTCTTATAAGACTCAGCTTCCTCATCCCCAAAATAGGAACAATGTGACCTGTAGTACCTCCCTCAAAGTGATGTTGTGAGGATCACCAAGTACTCTGGAGTGACCACCTGGTATTATTATTAGGAATTCAGCCTAGATTGTGCCCAAGGTTCCTTAAAGCCCCAGAGATCTATGCTTAGTTATCTGTTATGGCCTTCATTTCAGACTCTTCATTCAAAGAGGTTTGAAGCTTATGACTGGGGGAGTCCTGCTCTGAATATGAAGTATTATAATCAGGTAAGATTATTTCCAAATACTAGCTTGGGTAAGAGGAGAACACTGAAGCCTCTACCCAATACTTTAATCTCTTGGCAAAGTTGGCACTATAGACCTCATAGCCTGTGCAAAAGCATGAAGAAAGAATGCCCTGATCCGTTTTCTTAGGCTACAGGCTAGTGAACAGCCTTGCCTGGGATACTGCTTGGACCTTTCTAGGGAAGGTACAGATATGTTCAGTGACAGCCTCTTTGAGAGGACTGGAGCAATCCTCTCAAACCCCTTTGGCAGTCTCGTGAGACTTCCTTCTCCAAAAATGGCTTTTATGTGCATAGGATTATAAAGAAAACTGATTATGTCAAAAGAAAGATGTAATTTATCCTTGTCCAAGTCCACAGACCCCCTGAAATCTATCAGTGGACCCCTTGAGGGTCGTTGGACTCCAGATTAAGAAGTCCTACTCAAAAGGGAGAGGGAGAAAGGACAAAGATTGCAGTTTTTGCTATGTAAACAACAACAGGTTGACCAGATGCCAGAAAGATTGGAAATGAAGGCTATCCATAGCCTTTTGGAAAATGAATGTTGAAGTTTTTGTTTTTACCCAAGGAAGGACATGTTCACTCTCAGCATGCCCAAGCCCCATGGGAAGGCATTCATGCTCATTCAGAGGTTTCACACTTCCAAGCTCTTGCTGGGCTTTAGGACAGAAAAGAAAGAACTCCTTCCCCAGCAGGCAGTTCTCCATCATCTCCCCTTCCTAATGATCTCCTGCCTTCCCTTTCACCTTTCTTTTCTGGGGGAAAGTGGAAAGGAGTGTAGAACCAGGAGGAGGACATCCTGCCACTTGGTTCAGGTGTAGGGATCTTTGTCACCTCACTGGAGAGGAAGGGCCCTGAGCAGACCTAGGCTGGATCTGTTACGTCTTTCTTCCTCCTTTTCATTTTAGTCCACTCCTCCGCCTTACGACACTAGCAAAGTGGAAGTGCCAACGGCTATTTGGTTTGGTGGAAAGGATTTACTCTCAGGTCCTAAAGATGTCAAACAGTTGCTGTCTAAACTCCCAAATGTCATTCATCAAAAATTTATTCCTCATTACAATCATGTTGATTTTGTGTGGGGAAATGATGCATATTCTTATGTTTACTCTAAAAGAATTGCTATACTCAGTCACCATCTGGAAAATTCCAAGAGGATTTAGATGAAAAGATCATCTGATTAGTAGCTTCCCTTTCCTTTTTTGGGGATCAAGGATCTCTTGGTCTCTCTCAACTCACTCCTCCCCAATAATGGGCCAGACTCCACATGAGTCACAAACCTTGGCAATAAAGATTATTGTTAACACGCTTGTCTATTATGATGATTTTTAAAAAATAAAACCTCTTCATGGTGAATTCAGCCGTTCTTCTGAAGTAATTTTTGCCTACCTCCAGCTTCAGTGGATTGGGTAATCTCTGCAGATTTTTTGCAGGCAAGAGCAGGTTTATTCAGGGGGACTGGGTGAAAGATGGCAGGACATGTTGGCAGAGTATTAAGCTGTGGAAGAAACAGCTTCCTCCCCCACATGGGCAGGGAGGCCCACTGCAGTCAGACAGTCTTGCCCATTTGTTGGGCAAAGGGTTGAAAGGAGAGGTGCTTCTTGATTGTACTCACTTGAAATCCTTAGAACTTGCCCAATGTTTGCACTTTCCCCTTTATCACACTTTGTGAAAGCCCATTGCATAATTTTTTGTGGGGCCAGGTGGCTTTGGGGGTTCACACCTGTGATTCCATTGGGGTGGTTGATGTCTGATAAGAAAGCACCCCAAGAAATGTTAACCAGCACCTGCTCCATAATCTGGGAAGCTCTAGAGAGTTGTCTGAGGGGCACCGAGAGGTGAGATTTCATCTGTGTTTCATTCATGGACACAGATTCTTCCCAGAGCATCTACCCAGTGTGCCCAACACTTTCCTGGATTTTTTTTTTTTAGCATTCTGTGTGTCTCCAGGTGGCACTCACAGCGTCCGTCTTGACCGCCTTCTTTTCCTCATCATCCAGTTGACGATGGAAATCATTCCTCATTCTACTTCTTGCATGTATGTCATTGCTGAAAATATGCTGCAGTCTAGTCTTACTGTATGAGGTTAATAAACATTTGTCAAAAACTTACTATATTGCAGACACTGTGCTAAATGCTAGGGATGAAAAAGAAAAGCAAAAATAATCGCTTTCAATTCTGGCCTACTGGGGACACTACATACAAACAACTCTGTGTGTGTGTATATAAAGGCACATATGTATATATGTACATACACACATATATATGCAGTATAGCAAATAACTGTGTATATTTATAAGCTATATATGTGTACACATGCATACATATATATCTTATGGTAAATTGGAGATAATCAACAGAAGGTAGGCAGTAGTATTAAGGAGGATCAGGAGAGGCTTCTGGTAGAAGGTGGGATTTTATCTGGGCCTTGAAGGAAGCCAGGGAATGGAGAGGAGATAAGAGAGCATTATAGGCATGGGGGCAGTCGATGAACTTTCACACAATCAGGAGATGAATCATCTTGTGCAAGGGACAGCCAGGAGGCCAGCATCACTGGATAGCAGAATACATGGAGTGGAGTAAGGTATAAAAAGACTGGAAAGGGAGCATGGAGCAAGGCTAGGAGGGGCTTTGAATGCAAACAAAGCATTTTTTATTTGCTCCTATACTTGAGAGTCAGCTACTGGAGTTGATTGAATGGGTCTGTGACGTAGTTGGACCTGAGATTTAGGTCGGACCTCCACAGCTGAGTAGAGGATGGACTCAAGTGGGGAAAGTTGGGCAAGACCAACCAGAAGATTCTTGCAATGGTCCAGGTGCAAAGATATGAGGACCAATGCAGGGTGGTGACAGTTTTTGAGGGAGAAGGGGGAATGAGTGAGTAATCTTGTGAAGACAGAAGCAACAGGACTTGGCAACCAATTGGATTTGGGGATTGAGAGAGAGGAGGAGTTGAAGATAACCCCTGGATTGTGAGCCTAGGAGACTAGAGGAATGGTGGTATTCTCACCTGTAATAGGAAAGCTGGGAGAGGAAGAGAGGAAGATGAGTTCAGTTTTGGACATGTTGAATTTAAGATGTCTACATGTCATTCAATTCTGGATGTCCAGTAAGCAATCGGAGATGTGAGGCTAGACTTAAGGAAATTATATAGAGTTATATCTGGACAAAGAGATCTGAAAATAATGTGCCTAGAGGTGATAACTGAATCTATGAGAAGAGATCAGAACAACAAGAGAAATAATATAGAGGGAGAAGATAAAAGGACACAGGACAGACACTTGGAAGACAGCCATGGTTTTGCATGTGATGTGTATCCATCTTTGCATGTGATCCAGCAAAGGAGAATGAAAAGTGTTGGTCACACCAGGAGGGAGGAGTGTCACAAAACCTGTCCACTGTCCTGTGTTCCACACTCAGCCTTTTTCAGGTATTGTGCTGTTCCAGGATTCACAATAACATCACTAGGGAAAACTTTGTGCCACAAAGATTGTTTTTTGTACCAGGGCATGTTGTGGTATCTATAAAAACACATACACACATGAATACATAGATTTACATATCTTTATGTACTTACATAGACACAAATATACATTTATAGCAATATACATGTATATCCATATTTACATATATACACACATATACATAAACAGCTATAATAAACACATATATGCATACACACATAGGTGTATTTTATGTAAATCTGTGAGTCGTGCAGAAAGATGAGAGTTAAGTCAATGCAAGCTGATGAATATTGTACCGAGATTATGGATGGTGAAGAGAAAAGGACCTAGGATAGAACCTTATGTCTATCTACCTGTTTGTCTATCTATCTATCTGTCTGTCTGTCTGTCTCTGCCTATCCTCCCTCCTCCCTTTTCCATTCAGCCCCAGTTTATCCTGTGAGCTTCAGTTCCACATATCTAATTGCCTTTTAGACCCTTAAAACTGAATGTTCAGTAGACATCTTTAAACTCAACACATTTGAAACTGAACTCATTATCTTTGCCACCTGCCCCTCTCCTCTTTCCAAACTTCCTTGCTTCTGTCAAGGCACCACCATCCTTCAAGTCTTCAGATTTATAACCTTGGCATTATTTTAGATTCTTCACTTGCCATCATCCTCCATGTCTAATTATTTGCCAGATCTTAAAGTGTCTGCCTTCACAACATCTCTTGAATCTTACTCCGTCTCTCCTCTCACACAGCTACCACCTTTGCCATCATCATTCCTCACCTAGATTATTGCAATAGCTTCCTAATTGGTCTCCCTCCATTTAGTCCATCCCAGAGAGGATTTGCCAAAGAATTTTCCTGTCAGTGCAGATAAGGCCCTGTGAGTCTCCAACTCAACCACCTCCAATGACTCCTGATTTTCTCTACAGTAAAATACGAACTCTTCTGTTCTGTTTCTAGAATCTTTTGTGATCTGGAACCGACCTACATTTCTAGGCTAACTGGCTGTTACTCCCCTGCCCCATACTATGTGATACAGCCAAGAGGTCTGTTCCCTTTTTGGTGGTGGCTAACAACTGGAAATCAAGGGGATGCCCATCAGTTGGGGAATGACTAAACAAGCTGTGGCATATGAGTGTGGTGGAATATTATTGTGCTGTAAGAAATGATAAGCCAGATGATTTCAGTAGAATTTGGAAAGATATACATTGACTGATGCAAAATGATGCAAAATTTTCTTTCTTTCTTTCTTTTTTCTCTCTCTTCCTCTCTCTCTCTCTCCTCTCTCTCTCTCTCTCTCTCTCTCTCTCTCTCCTCTCTCTCCTCTCTCCTCCTCCCTCCCTCCCTCCCTCCCTCCCCCTCCCTCCCTCTCCCTCCTCCCTTCCTTCCTTCCTTCCTTCCTTCCTTCCTTCCTTCCTTCCTTCCTTCCTTTTCTTGTACAAATTGACTAATATGGAAATGTTTTACATGCATGATTGCTCACATATAACCTATATCTGATTGCTTACCATCTCAGGAGGGGGGGGGCAGAGAGAAAAGGGTAGGGAAGGAAGGATAGAATTTGGAACTCAAAACAGTTTTATAATATTAAAATTTTTTTAATATTTAATTGGGGGAAAATAAAATATTATTAGGAAAAAAGTGGCCTGCTTCCTGTTTTTCCACTTCCATTTAGTGTCTCTGCCTTTCCACTGACCATCCCATATGCCTGGAATACACTTCCTCCTCACGTCTGCTTCATAGAGTTCCACTCTTCCATTATGGTGATGCTCAAGCACCATCTTCTGCCTGAAGCTTTTCCTGACCTCATAACTGTCAATATCTTCACTTCCAAACTATCTTGTCTTTAACCATTTTGTCTGTATTTGTACGTATTCACTTTATATTTTTGATGTAGATATTTATCCATGTACATGTTATACCGTTAGAATCTAATTTCCTTGAGAGAAGGCATTCTTTCATTCTTTGTTCTTTCATCATCTAACTCAGTGCTGATGTTTAATAAATTTTATTTAATTTAATAAATTTAATTGTATTTTTGATAAACACTTGTATTTAATAAATACTTGTTGATTGGTTGGCCTACCTTTAAACTCTCAGGGGAGCATGACAAGAGGGCAGTATGGCAGAGTAGTCAGTCTTTCACTGTCAAAAGGAACATAAAATTCACCTGAATCTCCAGGAGGGTCTTCAATGTGTGAGTGATGATATTCAAGCCTGGAAGGCAAGAAGTCAGTGATCCAGATAAGACAGACTTTCATTCTTTACTTAATCATCCCCCCTCCCAATTCTTTGGTGTGGATGCCTGGGCTGTCAGGATTATGGTCCTTTTGTCCTTTTAAAAAGTATTTTATGTGGCATCTAGGTGGTACAATGGATAGAGCACCAGCCCTGGAGTCAGGGGGACCTCAGTTTATTTACTTATTTATTTGTTTGTTTGTTCATTCATTCATTCATTCATTCATTCATTTAATTATTTGTTCCTTTACTCATTCATTCATTTATTTGTTCATTTATTTAATTTATTTAATTTTTTGGCAATTGGGGTTAAGTGACTTGCCCAGGGTCACACAGCTAGTAAGTGTCAAGTATTTGGTCTGAGGTTGGATGTATTAAGGTTGAACTGTTTACATTCCTGCATGGAAAGATGATATTTGTAACTCATGAGACCTTTGTCAGTATTAGGGTAGTTGGAGGAAAATTAGAT